AGGGGAAGGTTAGCAGTGTGGTCAGAGGACACAGGTGAGAAGGAAAAAGAGAATAATAGGAAAATAAAGAAGAACTCCGAATGAGGACCAAAACAGGGACAAAAAGGGAAGATGAACAATGTGGGAGAGCAAGAGAGTGAGTGTAAGAGAGAGAGAAAGGAAAAAGAAAGAAGAAAAGAAAAGAAAGGAGATAAAAACAAATATTTGCAAAGAGTAGGGAAAAAAATTAAAGATAAGAGTAGCAAAAGAAAAGAAAAGAGGAAAAAAAACAAAATAATAAAACTAATTTTGGGAATAAAAAATAACCATGAAGATGAAGGGCCTCTTCCAGGGTATGTCTCTGCTGTCACAATAGACAACGTGGGCTGCAGTGTGCAGATATAAGTCAATGAGTCTCAGCAAGCTAGCCGCAGACCCATGAGATTCAGGCAGATTTCTGGCTGCAAGTCCCAAGTTGAGCTCCCTGTCCTCCTGTAGGGTTGAACTCTGCAGAGTTGTATTGCAGGTTCCAGCTGCCTTTCCCCTGAAGATAGTCCTCGTCCTGATGCGAGGGAAGATGACTCCAACTTACCCAGTACATTGGTCTGGTGGTCCGGTGTCCTCTGTGTCTTTGTAGTGTGGAACCAGGTGGTTGTACAGAGGAGTAGGGGTGGGGTGGGGGTGGTGGTGTCCAGTGGATTGCTGACTGAGTCCGCAGACCTGCCTGTCTGCAGCGGACTGATTTGGCGCGTTTCGCGCGACTCAAGACGTTGCTACTTTTTTTTGGTACCAGAGATGGAAGTCGGGTCCTTATGCTTGAGAGGCTGGCGGCGGAACCACTGAGCTAAATCCCCGGCCCCATCAGTTGATTTTTTAATACTTTTTTTCATAATTTTTTTCTAAGAAATTATTATCAGCCTTCAAAATAATGATTTTCAATAGGGCATAATTTTAACCCATAGGGGACTTTTGCCAATGTCCACAGGTATGTTTGGTTATCATAACTTGGGGGAAGGGTATGCTAAGGGTCTTTAGTAGCATCCTGCTAAATATTCTACAATGAACAGGGTATCCCTTAAGTAAAGACTTTTCAAAGCCAAAATGTCAAGAGCACCAAAGTTATGCAATCTTGCTTCAGAGTGACACAAATTAATTACCAATGAATCAAAGAAATGTATTTCTTTATAACAGTTGAGAGATTCAAAAATTCATGCTTCTGGCCAAACATAGACTCAGTGACACTGTTTGTAGAATGCTCCGATCACCAGTTTTATTAAATTTTAAATGATATATCTATATTTTCTTACATGTGGTCCAAAATTAAATGTTGCATGCACAGTTTACAAATATGTATTTCACAACTCCAATATCATTTCTTGAATCTTCACACTAAAAGTCAAAATTATATCTTACCACCACAACACATAGTAATTTACATGATCATATACACTTATTTATATGAGGCAACTGTGTCCTGAAATGAGTTCAGAGAATTGGCAGCCAGCTGCCTAAGTGAATCATTTAAAATAGTAACCTTAATCATTTCCTAATTTAAGACAGATTCAATAGTTTTTACTGAAAACTTCATAGATCTAATGATTTATTAAATGTAAACAACCATAAAGATAGTTTGTAAGAAAAAGAGCATATGGAATTGGTTCCTGGGCTTTAGGACCACTCAGGATGCAAATTACCAAGTCAGTTATATTTCCTGGCTTCAGTTTTCTCAACGGCAACATAAGTGTATGACTTGTGCAATCTTTTCTAAACTTTAAAATTTTGTGAGACTTTAAATTATGGATAATTTTTTGTGAATAAATTATGAATCTCTTCTGGATTACTTTCTTCTCAATAGTACATGGAGGAAATAATAAAGAAGTTCCATTATTCATTGTCCAATGGTTTGGCTTATATTTGTGCTGTGTGAGTAAATAATGGCCAGCCTGCAAGCCCCAGTGTTTGATAGGCACTGCCAAACAGAGTAATGTTTCCATGAAGCCTTCATTCAATTGTTGTATGGAATACAGAAGCCTAACTCTCCTAATGAGTTAATGGGACACTTTGCTTAGAAAGTATGTTTTCCTTTTCAGACTACTTTGCTCCTGTATTCCATGTGGTACATTTTTATATTTATTTAAAAACATAATTTCTTAAAACACTAGGATTCCATGATTGCAGTAGCCCTCAATCAATAGGGGTAAATTTGGTAGAAATTCAAGGGGATAAACCTTTCCTTTTTATGTAGAAAAACCATGTTCTTTGACTCTTCTGGTTACTAGTAAATTCTCAATTGTTTCCAGTCATTTAACCTTACAGTAACAATGGACAAAATCACCCCCTGGTGATCAACAAATGTTAAGTGCATCTTTAAAATAAATTCCTGGACCCATAAAAAGTTACTAGTTACCATCACCTTCCCCCAAATTTTCATAACAAAAATACATTTTGATTAAGCAATTACTATCTTGTTAACCATGTTTTCTCTAAATATATCTGTAGGGTGGTGTGTGTGTGTGTTAAAAAAAAATCACAAAAAATTTAGAGGTTTCTTCTGCCAGGCTTTGTTTTCTACCTCCTCTATAAGAGGGCCTAAAATGCTTTAAAAGCAGCAAATTTATTTATTTATTTTGGTGGAGAAACATTTGGAAAACATGGAAGAATAAGGAAAATGAAAAAAAAGCATTTGTGAGTTCTGGAGAGATGATAGGGAATTATTGAGTTTCCTGACCTCTTTGAAAGTTCAGAATGCTTCTGACTGACACCATGGCAAAGGCACCACGAGAATCTCACAGACTGTCTTCAAGCATTGGTCCTACATCTTCATTATGCTCCAATTTACTTGATTTAAAGAGCTGAATATTTCAGCTGTCATTTCAAGCAGGATAAACTGACCCATTACCTTCCAAATAAAAATTATCTTATAAATTAGCTATGCACTATTGTTTAACCAATGCGACTCTAAAATAAATCATGTAAAGTGTATCATGCTGCCAGGTTGTCACTTAATCTCACTCCATTGTACCATGCCCACTGAGTGTCTGGATTTCATGCACGTATGACCTGCATACAGCTCTTTTCATAACTTTTATGATGAGTTAGAGGCCTGTTTTTCTAGCAATCCAGCGTCGGTAATAAGTGACATCTGTGTAGACTCCCGGTTTGTTCCTTTGACCACAATTATCTCCCCAGCTCACGATTCCAATAAGATACCAGGTATCTGTAAGATCTTGTATAACTAATGGTCCCCCAGAATCACCCTGACAGTTAAAAAAAGAAAAGAAAAATAGAGAAAGAAAATCAGCTAAACATAAAGCTTATTATTTAAGATATTTTGATGAACTATACAATCTGTTGTCTGACAATGTATACATAATCAATATAGACTTATCAACTGATCAACTGAAACATGGATTTTGAAATTATTAATAGCTTTAAGGTTCACTCTGCTGCATGTTTTATATTAAAATTTAGTTTTGTTTGAGTAAACAACACATAGTTAAAAGCCAATAAAAAGAACATGAAAAGGCTTAGCATGGTCCCAGATGTAGACACTTCATGCTTAATAATTTCACATAATATCTAACTTCTTATCATCAAATAACATGCACAAATGGCTATTTCCAGCTTTACATTGTACACACTGATTTTCTATTGTGTAGGTGGGGGTTTATCTATTCAAGAGCACCCTTTAAACTCTCCCTCACAATATCATTACCTTGTAGATCTCTGATTTTGGATATCTCTTTGTAAATGTTATTTACTGATGAGTTGAGTAACATATTTTGATTCTTACCTTTCTTTGGCAGACTTTGATTTCCTAGAATTAATAACATGTTCCTTTTCATTTGGCTAATTTTCTATACATCTGTGGCAAATGTTTAATGTTCAAAAAATCTATCAGCATCTAACATAATTTTTATTAATATTTCATGATGTCATATAACATGTCAATTCTTTTATTTCCTCTGAAAATGTCCCCATATCTCCACATAGACTTTCGGTCTCAATCTTTATCTCTGTCTTTCTCTCTGTCTTTCTCTCTCTCTCTCATTTTTCACATACACACTTCTTTCCTTTCTTCTCTCTTAGAATAACTACTTTAAGCCTGGTGGGGAGCTGATTCCAAGACTCTCACTAGTCTTTTGTGTTGAATGCACAAATGTTTTGGGTCCCTTAATTTTCACTTTTTTGTTTTCCCCCTCATTTCACTGAAGTAACTTCTCAGGTGGTTTGCTAAGAAAGAGGGTATAAATTGGACATTTTTTGAATCATTGTTGGTCTAAAATTCTTTATTCTATCCTCATACTTGATGATTAGTTTCCATGGCAGGAATCTCAGGAGAAATCATTTCCCCTGGCTTCTATCTTCCAGTGCCACTATTGAGAAATTCTGTGGAAATTTGATGGTTCCTCCTTTAAAACTTGAAAGTTGTTCTCATTATCTCCAGGATTTGACATTTTATGATGATGTGCCTTGGGAAGAATCTCTTCAGTTATTGTGTCCACTACTATTTGGGCCCCTTTTCTCAGTAGGATGCACATAAGCTTCAGAACTGCAAAGCTCTGATTGTTTTAGAACATAGTCCCATGTTTTCTGTTTTCAGAACTTCTATTCATTTCATATCTGGCACTTTGATTTTATGTTCTAATTTTCTTATCTTCTCCTGTTTTCTTTTTTCTTTCCTCAGAAACTTTTTTGGTGTTATGTTCCAATTCTACTAGATTTTTAAAAGTACAATTACATTATTGCTACATTTCTGGATCCGACTCAACTTGATCTTTGGTTCTGGAGGTCAGATTGGAAGCTCTTCATGGAAAGAGAGTGAGGGCTGCTTCACACAATCACCATCTTTTCAACCCATCAACTCCTCTGTTCTCTGTTATGTATGGTGTTGCTGAATTCAAAAGGCCTCAGATTTGACTGCTGTGGAGAGCAAACTCCCTGACTCTTGAGTGTGTGTGTGTACGTGTGTTTGTTGGAGTGATACTCTGAGAAGATGGAGGAGGAGCTTTCTTGGTCAGTCAGGTTAGGAAGAACTGGGATGCTAAGTACTCTCTGTGAAGTATGTAACCATTCTCTTCTAGCTTCTAGCTCATGCCTGACCCTAATCTTCAAAATTGTCTGACCCTTTAAAATGTTGACTTTTATTTAAAATTGGTATCCAACCCTCCCTCCATCCAAGATGTTTGTTTTAAACTCACTTTGGCTAAGCCAGTTGAAACTCCTGCACTTTTTCCCTCTCTCTCAAAAATTTTGTCAAAAACTCGCTTTTCAGCTTTCTCTCTCTTTTTTTGTTCTTATTGGTTAATAATGTAAAAAAGTGAAATTTACAGATAGTCAGAAATGCATATTTTTTATTTGTTTGTTTGTTTTTGTTCTGGGGATCGAACTTGGGACCTTGCACTTGCGAGACAGGCGAGACAGGCAGTGGAACCACTGAACTAAATCCCCAACCCAGAAAAGCTTATTTTATAGGTAACAAGCAGTTTTTCAAAACTGTCTACTTTTGTATTTCTCATGGTCATTTTAATGGGTTTAGAGGAGAGGTGAATTTGAATGTAAAATTTCCATGCTTAGATATTTCAGTCTATGTATTTTGCAGATGAATAAGAAAGAGACCTAGAAAACCTGACCAATCTAAAATCATATCTAAGAAGGCAATAGAATAAAGGAGCTAAGAATTCTGACCCTTGGTTATACAAATTAGAACACATCAAAATCAATCTGAGAGTTATATAATGAAAAATCTAATTCAATCTTTATCAATTCAGATAGTTCCCAGTTTTCATCATGAATACCCATGATTCATATACTGTACATGAAGGTTTTCTGAGGCTCCTGGACCCAGTCTGGGCTCTGGAACTGTGTGTGTGTGTGTGTGTGTGTGTGTGCGTGTGTGTGCATGTCTTGGAAATAGATCCCAGATGTGGAGACCACTCTGAGCGAGCTTACAAATTCATAAATTGGCTTTTCATATTAAAAGTCTGAGTCTGCCTATTAGCCCACAATGGCTTGCCTGAAAAGCCAGCAGTTGGTGTGTGGGAAAGGAACAACTTCCCACACTAGTGGTTACAGTGGAGGTCTCAATGATCCCTCACGCTGTGACGTCTTGGATGGCAAGAATATAGTGCAGCTAAGGGCAGCATGACTCATACAGAAAACTCCTAAAGAGACAAAAATTAATCCATGGGAAGAAACACATTTCCCATTAATCAATGATCTGTTCCTACCAGAATATCTTGTTCCCTTGTTGCTAGAACCCTGCTTGTGTCAGTGCTTTCCACTTCACTGTTCCCTGCACTGTCTCTTACTCCTTCTAGAAGCTGCATGTTCAATAAATAGTGGCGAGCTCCAGCAGATGATGTCTTAGCCAGATAACAGCTTTGACCATCCAAGGCCCCCATTTATTTAGATCTTGTCTTGTGTCCTTTTTTTTTTTGGTACTGGAGATCAAACTCGGGACCTTGCTCTTGTGAGGCAGGTGGCGGGACCACTGAGCTAAATCCCCACCCTCTTGTGTCTTTTTAAAAAAAATCCATCCGTGGTACCCTTGGTCAGATGATTGGGAGGGCTGATCAGCCTCCAGTAGATCCCAGGACCTCATACATGATAGGCAAGTACTCTGCCACCTTAAGTATTCTCTAATAGTAGCAGTAATGGATGGTCAGCCTCTGCCTCTCTCTAAGTGCTGTTAAATAGTTTTTCAGTAGATGTGATGCCAATTATATCAGCTTAAGAATTCAAAATTATGATGCTGTCTCCATTTTCTTTACTTAGAAAATAGAGGATTTTAAAGTCCTCACAGTGAGGATCAACTGAAAATAAGATATAATAGATGCCTTAACAAGCAATATTCCTTACAATATGAGAAATATAGAAACACACACAATTATTCAAAACTCATACTGAGCATTAAAAATATATTGGGCTACCTGAAGTGAGGTCAGATGGTCATATTACCATAAGCATGGTGAGATTTATAACCTACATTGGTTTATCAGGGTTTGTCAAACTTCTTTGTGAACTAAAATCCTCTGTGGAGTTTCTTAAATGTAGATCTCAGATGCCCACGTCTAGAGAGTCTGTCCGTGCAGGGGAAGACACAGGACCTGCATTTTAATAAGGGCTCCAGTTGATTGCATTATGGGTCATCTGCAGAATACCTATAAATCATAAGTCTAGATAGACTGTAGCACAAATGCTATTGCTGTTTCCTTTATTTCTTCCCACTAATTCTCATTTCTTCTTAATTATTAACCACCCAGGAAAAATTCACTGAGCAAGGAGCTTTCAAGGTTGGAAGAATCAGGGCACAAAAGCACCAAGCTGCTATATCACAACAGAAAACTGTGAGTACCAGACAAAGGCTCAGGTAATGACACAGCAGGGTAGAGGCAGAGAATATAGCATGGATGGTCTTAGAGGCTTTCATACATATGTGCACATGCATGCACACGCGCAGACACACACACACACACACACACTGAAGTGTTAAGGTTTGTTAATAAGAAACTGTAAAATATGAAATTATAAACAACATAATATAAAAACAAAAACCAATATTTATTTTAATCTAATTTGTTAGTCAGAAATTCAGATGTTATACTTCACTCTCCCCACTCTCTCCAGTCACACTGAAGTCATACCTTCATCTGCTAATTTTATCTGCCATTTACCTCTGTCTTAGAGCTTCCTTCTTAGTCTAACTGGCCACATCTCACTGGGAGTAGCAATCCACGCTAACTGATCCACTGCTACCATCTCCAGTTTTTTTTCACTGTGCCAAATATTTTTTTTTACTGTGTCAAAAATGATTTCATGAGGCTCACAATTGATCAAACCACTCCTTTAGTTTAACAAACATCTAATAAGCCAAGAACTAGTTTGAGAACTTGTACATATTAACTAATTTAATATAAATACCTTGATTAAAACATTTAAATGGATTGCCATTGCCCTCAGAAAAGAGGGGCAAATAGTGAAGGTGACTGGCAAGGCTCCAACCAGCCTGTCCTCCCAGCCTCCCACCCAACCCTGGGCCACGGGGCTCTGAGTTCTGTGTTCATCAGTGATCCTCTTCCTCACCATCCTCATTTCCAACCTTCCTAGCTAACCTCTACTCCTGTCCTAAGAGCTAGTTCAACTACAGACACTTCAGCTTCATTCCTGTTAATCATTTTTGTTTCTCATTTACGCTTATAGAAGAGTGATCTTTTTCTTCCAGACACTCTTTCTTAGGGGTCTCTCGTGATTGCTCCTGACTTATCCCCAGCAGCCAGCACGGTTCAAGTACATAGTGCAACTCTTCAGCCTTTTTGAATAAATAAATGAGGAGATTAAACGGAATAGACAAAACAATGACCACGGAAGATTATGGGTTAATTTTCCTCTATGTTATGTTCCCAGTTACCAGAAGTTTTCCAAACACATCTACTAGTTTTTGGAATGCTTTTGAATACCACCTTCGGAGAGTTCTCCAATGGTTGCCTGAATAGCGGTTACAACCAGGGGTCTTTAATTTCATCAACTCTTGACTGAACTAAAAACAGCAGCAGAATCACAGATCTGCCCTAAGTTGTAAACACTTTTCATTTTTGGTTTTCATATCTGCAATCCTGATACATTGTCATTTGTACTTGTGTCTTGTCTGGCTAGACTTCTGATAGAGAAATTAACCCTTCCCCCTTAATCTCATATATAGGAGAAGAGATTTGTTGAGTTCTACGTCATTATTTGGTAAATTTGAGAATGATGTTGGTGCATGGATTTATTCTTCATCAGCAGACTAAGGCCCTCTCCCTGTGCACCCACTGTCAACACTGTGTTCCTGTTATGGATCCTTGTGCCTGAATCAGTGCCCTGATGACTTCTCTTTTTCTATGAAAAGAGCTCATTTTTGCAGTTAGGCAGGAATCTTCCTTCTACTCTTTAATCTAGGGAAGCCTGTCTATGTTCTCCAATCCCTGCTGAAGTGTACCCACTTCGTGTGGGAATTCTCATAGCCTGCCTACTCCAAGCCTCCTGATTACGACTTTCACTAGTTTCCCAAGGCATAGACGTCTTGCTGGAGTCCTGGCATTCTAGCTGCCTCTCTTGACATTCTTGGGCATTGAGAACAGACCTGTGCCAGATGCTGCTCTTGCACAGCTGACATACTACAGAACTCACTGCTCCTTTCTGACAGAGGTTGCTGTGCTATGTGAGACTCTAGGTCAGGCTTTCTGCCACCTGATGCCAGTGCCATTCCCATCATTTCACCATGTAGAGTCACCTCCTTGGAATTTTCAAGAGTCTCATTAAAAAGGAAGTGCCTTCAGGAAGAACACAACTCACATCTTTTTCAGGAAATACACATTCCAGCTGGATTGTAGAGGACAGAGAAGTCCCCAGGAAGAACTCCAGGATCCGACAACATGCCTCTCTATTTTCTCACCATTACCCTGACCTCTCACCTCTGATCCTCGATACACTGAGACCCCACAGAGGACTTGGGGTTTCCTCAAGTATGAATTGTAATTTCATAATTGTGGCTATGCTTTTTCTTTTTTCTGGAATATTCCTTCCATTTTCTGAAACTGGGTAAGTGCTATTTTTCTTCATGCCTCATTGAAATATTACTTTTCTGAGACTTGTCCTGAAAATATTCCCCCCCAAGGAAAAAGTATTTGCTCTCCATTGTGATATTTATGATACCACATCACAATTTATTGTACATAGTTGCTTCCTGTTTAGATTTTGAGCCCCTTGAGGGAAGGGACTGTTTTATTAATCTTTGTATTTCTGCTTATTAAGAAATTTTAATTTTGTTGATCAGTCTGTTTGATAGCATCAAAGGAACCCTCCTTATTTCATTTTACTCAATACGACATTGAAAAATATGTTTGTACTGTGAAGTTTACAATTAAAACCTTTTGGAGTTGGCATGATGTCTGTATTTTGTGCCAGTGTAAAGAATACAGAATAATTCCTGGGCCAGATAAAAATTCTGAGATGATGACATTGGGATGATTTCCTCTCTTTGACCTACCCTGCATGCATCATAGATGCCTTCCAGATACCCAGCACAAAGCATCCCGGACTTTATGTCACTGCCATACACGTACGGTTGCCTGCAGATGTCCTTACTGATGAGCCTTACTCTGGCTTCCCGGAGACTGTTTTGGGATTCTCCTTAGGAAAAAGAAAGTAGTTTTAGTTTTTCAGTCAGTATCCTTAGCTAATGCAAGAGAACAAGTTTTTTTTATTTTTTGATTTGTTTTTAGTCTTCTCCACTGTACAAATGTCAATTCAGCAAAAATATAAGCAGCTTTAGAGAAAAAATAAAATTAAAATACGGCACATTTAATGACAATGTCCTATCATATTTTTATAAATACTTTTATATGCAAGAAAAACATTTGGTCTCTGCTGTAAAATCTTTGTCTCTTTAATTTAAAACAGTTTATTTTTACAGGGTGGCATTCCACTTTTCATCAAGTTCTTACTTGTGGTTTCAGATTGTTCCCATAGACTTTGCATGCTTAGATAGTCTTCTCTCTTGCCTTCATAAAATTAATATCATAGTATGTTTATATTTTCCATTACATTTCATAAAGAGCTTTGAGATATATAATGGGATTAAATAATAATGGCTTCATCTTTTGCATAAATTCGGGGCTCCAAATTATAAACCAGTATTATGACAGGCAGACTCAGTAGAAAACTAAGAATAGCACAAGCATTATGGGATTCTTTATGTCAAACTATACACTGGTGAGGAAACTATGACAGTCTGGTAGGCAGAATTCTAGGATAACTCCCAAGATTGATGTGTGATTCCCTTTTTCCAATCTGTGAATATGATGGACATCATTCTTCCTAAGAGGTTAATGGTTATATGGCACAGATGTGGGTATTTTGCAGATGTAATAAGATCTGTGGTCTGATTGAATCTGATTAATCAAATGGGAGATTATCCAAGTTGGGTGTGACCAAATTAGGTAAGGCTTTTTTCATCAATGGTTTAGAACTTCCCCAAAGTCTAAGATGCTTTCTTAATGGAATTTAGGAAGCAAGGTGCCATGAGCTCTACAGCTGAAAGAAATGAAATTCTGTCAAAAACCAGTGAGCTCTGAAGACAGAATTGAGGCACAGATGAGCCCACCTTATAGTCAATACCATGATTGGAGTTTTGTGAGATTCTGAGAAAAGGACACACCTAAGCTATGTCTGAACTTCTTAGTCATGGAAACCGTGAGATAACAATAGAGTGCTGTTTTAAACTGTTAAATTTGTGGTAATTTATTTATGCAGTATTGTAATAGAAAACTAATATTTATACCATTTCAAGAATTTCAAGATCACTTTGAGATTTATTTCTGGAGAGGTGTTTGCAAATACATTTTTATAAATTCCCAGAAAATATAAGTGTAAAACTCAGCAATATGCTAAGGGATTTTTAAACTTATTCTGTCTTTTGAATACATTTTTTTTTGCCTATTACAGTATCAATTTAAAAGATCATGTACAGCTGGGTGTAATACCAGGACTTAAGAGGCTGAGGCAGGAGGACCATTAGTTTCAGGTCAGCTTGGGCTACATAGTGAGTTCAAAGCCAGCTACAACTACTTAGTAAGATTCTGTCTCAAAACAAAACAAAACGCCAAAAAATTAAAAAAAAATCATATCCAGTGCCTGGAAGGATAATGTAAATATGATAAATTTTCAGATGATGGTGTAAATTCTCAAATTTTTCAGCAAATTAGTTGGTAAAATATATTCTCAATTAGAAAAAGCAAAATTCGTAAATTCTGGACATTCCTGAACTTTTTCATATACTGTGGGAGTGTTCAATAACTTCAAAGTTTTGATTTCATTAAAGAATGAAGATTTATATCTTTATTTGTTTCTTTGTTTTTTGGAGAAAAGGACTCACAATATAGCTCAAGCTGACCTTGAACTCACTATGTAGCCCAGGCTGGCCCTAAACTTGCCGTGATCCTCCTGCCTCAACCTCCCAAGTTCTGGGATTACAGGCTTGTGCCACATGCCTGCCTCCAAGAATGAGGTTTTTATTTACCAGTGTTCTCTGTTGTTTTCTTATTTTCAATTTCATTCATTTCTACTCTTATTATTTCTTGCCATTGTATGCTTTGCTTTTCTGTATTGGTTTCTTGAAGTGGGAATTTAGTTACTGATTTGAGATATTTCTTCTTTTCTAATGGAAACATTAGCTACTTATTTCGCTCATTATTTTAGCTGCATCCTGCATCCTGCACATTTAGTTTTCATTCAGCTCTATGTATTTTAAAGATTTTTTCCTTGATGCTCCCTTTTTGTTTATGGTTGAGTTATTTAATTTCTATGCATTTAAAGATGCTCCTCTTATCTGTTACTGATTTCTGGTTTGAATCCATTGTAGTCAGAGTGCATACTTTGTGTGATTTCAATTCTCTCATGCTTGTTAAGGTTTATTTTATGAATCTGGACATAGCTTATTCTGGGGAATGACCCATGGATACTTGTAGTTAATGTTATACTGTTGGTTTTGGTTCAAATGTGTGCTAAATGCTAATATTTATAATAGAATCTAAATTGTGTTATTAACAAGTTATCATGGCAGATTTATATCTGTATAACCCTAAAATACTGGAATAAAACATTTTTCCCACCAAGCCACAGGAACTTTATGATATTCCTCCCATCATTGTGAAGATGGGCTGCAAACCCCATGATAAGATGTGTTTCCCTTCATAGAAAGTGTGGACAGAGGGAGATGTTAGGTTTGCCTTTCTACTGCAGTGGAGTCCATGTACAGTGGGTAATATTTCTATCATTAACAATATGACCTTAAGGCAATGCATATCCAGCACGCATGAGATATACCTAAACCATACAGGGTATCTGAAGAAAATATAGAGGCCATGATGCCTATTCCTATGTAGTGAAAGATCATTCCTAGTTCCTCAGTGGAGACTGAAAATTAGAGCCTTGTTCCTTATAGCTTGCTGTATGCAAATAAATTATATAAAGTTCTATATGTGCATTTTGTCATTTTCAGAGAGTCTCCTTTCATTTCAAGCTCAGAGTTAATTTTTTTTTTCTATTGTTATACATATTCTCTTGGAACACACTGCGGAATCCAGAGTAGGTCCTACTGAGAGTACCTGACAACGTTCCATAGAGGATTAAGTTAGTATATCAAGTTGAATCGCTTTAGAAAGGGCAAAATGTTTTGATGATTTATCTCTGCACTATTCTTACTTATAAATACCCTTAAATCACCCTTTCGGTATTAAAGCGAATTTTGCTGTGTAGGCATAGGAGAGTACAGTCAGTCCGTCCGGATATCCCAGACCTGCTCTTAGCAACCTTTGCCACTGTGTGGCGCCAGAATTCCTTCAAACAAAGCCAAAATGGGAAAACTAGGACCAAGAGATGCAAGGAGCCAGGGACTCCGAGTTCCAAGATGTCCTGTAAACTCCTGATTTTAGCCTTGTCTTCTGGCACCTACTGACTTCTAAATTACCATGATCAAATTTATTGTTCGTTTGTCTTTGTTTCTAATTTATTTAATTTGAGGCGAATTTCTGTGACTTGCTAAATAAGAGCCCTAACTAAACCAGTGGACCGCGCTCGCATCGCCGCGCGGGGGTCCGGCCTGGCGCGGTCTGCGGTACCCAGGTACCCACCGCCGTAGTACAGCTCCCCAAATCCCGTGATGTACACGGTCGAGTTCGGCCGGAAGGATGCGGAGACAGCCGGCAGGCAGATGCGGCGGACATCGTCCGAGAATGTGACTTTGGAGGCGAGCTGGACCACAGCTATGTCGTACTCTCTCGCCGGGGAGCGGTACCTCTCGTGCACAATAATCCTTTTGACGTTTCTTCTCATTAAGGGAGGGTTTATTGTTGTTCCGAAACTAACAGTCCATTGGCGTGGATTCACACTACTGGAAAAAATTTAGAAATTAACAGAACATATGAACTGTGCAGAAAATATGAACTATATTAGAAAATGCCATTCTGACAATACTTGGTTGCAATTTAAATATAGTTTGCTTTTAGTATTTTGAAGGTTTAAATATATATGGCATATCGTGTATCATATTATATACAATATATGGCATATTAGAGCTGAACTTTAATACCAATTTATTGAATTTTAGAACTGCAAAGCACATACAATGTCATTCAGTTATCCCTTCAGCAAATATTTATTAAGCATCCATGTGCTGAACATTACCAAAGTGACGGGGGTAAAGAGGTGGCCAAGACACAAGTTTCCAGCTTATGGGACTGTTAGATTCAGAACACAAAAAAAGATCAAAATAAATTAGAAAGGAGACCAGTAGCTTAAGCAATAAGGATTATTAATAAAATAAAATAAGGTAATGCATAGAGTACTGGGGATATTTTGGAAAGATTTTTGTTTTAAAACAACACATTTAGGCTGAGACATGGCTGACAAGGAACCCCATATCAGGAAGACAAATCTCCAGGGGAACCTCCTACAGCCTCAGGCCAGTGGGATTCACCTTAGGACCCAAAGGGAAGAATGTTGGGGTGAGGTGGAGAGGTCGGCCGGAATCAGAGTCTAGAGTTAACCCAAGTGATGAGGGAACCCACTCCTTGTTCTTGAACTGGGAGTTATGTAGTCTTATTTACATTTCAAGTCATGTGCAGTTCTCACTGGACACTGGATTATCCAAGGTCCAGAGTCAGTGTGGTAAAAGCTATCTGAAGATGATTGCAGTCATCTGCCAAAAGATGATCCAGTGCAGCTGACTTCTGGCTTGTGTGCTTGGATCATGGTACATACAGGAATTGGAAAGATCATTTTGGAATGATGGAGATCATCTGATGAAGATTTTATTTTATACTTAAGGAAAGTTAATCCCAGATTCATTAAACCATTTGTGTTATAGCTCGTATACCTGTCTCACTCTGCTGTTTTCTCTGGAAGGCCCACTCCCCCACCGAAGTATATCTGTTGATTACCAGATGCACATACTTAACTGATTAATTAGCTAACATCATTCATGAAGGATAAGCAGAAACAGATACCACCAATATAGAAACTTCTCAATCCCTTTATTTTTTAATGGTTAGCTTTAGCCGTAGAAAGAACATATAAACATATTGAGGTGGAAAGAACTGTCAAATATAACTTGGAATGGATAATTACTGTAAAAATGTGTCCATGAACTGTGTCAACTTAAAATGGTAATATAACAATAATATACTGTCTATGTGCTTTGTGTGGGCTTCTGCTGAAACCCCTTCTGTGTTAATATGTCCTTGTTGAAAAACACCAGGTGGGCCTGTTTCTGGAAAGAGTAAAAAACCAGCCTTGAAATTGTTTATGTAAACCCCCAACATTGAAACCATGGAAATTCCCTTGCTGTTTTGCCACTTCCTTGCTATACGCTGCTGTGTGACTTTGACTTGAACTTCTTACTCTGCAAAAGGTATATAAAGGAAAAACAGTCTTAACTTGAGGTCAGCCTAGAAAGACTCGTTTCCTGAGGCTGTCCATTGCCTGGCAATAAACTTCTTTTTGTTTTACCCAACCGTCCTTTCTCTGCAAGATCATTTCAACTCCCAATTTGCCGCAACAATATGAGCAGAGTTTAGTCTAATTTTGCAATTGTTAACTATGCTGGGATTATTATTTTAAAATTCTGTCTTCTTATAACCTTTTAGTGTGCAAAGTTAATCCAATGAGAAAAGCTAAGTAAAGATGGCTTGTAAAAATAATTGTTCATATACATAAATATATTGATGATTTGGCTTATAAGTCATTTTTATGAGTTTTATTGCTGTGAAACTGTTTCCTCAATGAAATCATGCCTAGGTGAACTTAACATAAATCAAGGTTTTTGAATTGAAAATGTAAAGATTAGACCTTGAATTGTATTTAGTTAAGTGTGAATGAATGACTATTCTAGAACTTTCAAACAGTGGTCTGATAATATTTAATATTGCTTGTATTTTATTACCTTTGTATATGACAAATCTTAAAAAAGTACCTTCCTTAGAGACCCTAAGTAAAGATTAAAAATAAGCTTTCTAAACTTCTAACTTGAGCCCAAATCATCATGATGGAAATTAATGGTGATAAACAAAATACATAGGAATTTAGATTTCAAAGTCAGTTGTAAAAACTCAAAGTGGTGACACCTGGCCCGAAAACAATCCCTAAAAGAGGAATCTTGGAATTTTGTGGATTATTATTAAAAAAATAAAAAAAGTGATAAGTTGTCTTAAGTGTTAATAAACTGAAATAATATCAGTCTTGGGGTAGGAAAGATTAAAAAATGTGTGTAATCCTCTCATGAATCCAGTGTTTGAAAGATGAGCTTTGGCATCAGAAAGATGTATGTTTTCAATTCCATCATCTTCCATTATGACTCTGGGCAAGTCTTTTGACTTTTCTTATCCACCTCAGTGAAAAAGGGCTAACCAAACTGGTCTTAACTAGCAGAATGGATGGAAGAATTATATGAAACAAATCTTGAGCACTTAACCAAATGTTTGTATCACAGTGGAGCTTAGTTATCAGTGGTAATCATTACAAAAACATCCTCAAGGGATGACTGTCTCTGCCTGAGGTCTGCAGCAGATGCAGGGTCATCCTTTGCTGTGGAATTCTTTTCAGCTTTGAGCAGGTATGTCTGTTGGCAAGTTCTTTCTTGATTTTCTAATTCTTTTTCACATGACAGTATTTCAGATCTACTAATACAACTACCATTTATATCAGAGCTTTCTCAGGATAACACTTTTGTCTCCTAAAATTAAGGGATATATTTTCCCTTTTCTTTACCAGTCAAGATTCTCTAAGATAATTTTATTTTGTCAGTTTCTCTTTATATGTATTGTCCAGGATTGAACTCACTGTCTTAGGTAGTATCTGACCCAAAGAGTCAGCTTTTCTCATTGGATTAATTTTTCACACTAAAAAGTTATAAGAAGATAGAATTTTTAAATAACATCTCATTTCTCTTGGGCTCTACTTATTTCAAATGCAGTTTAAATCACAATGCAGTCTTGGGGACAATAGACTCCAAGTAAGCTATCTTCTGACAAAGTTTTCTAAATAACTTTCACATGTTATTGTATATTTTTGCTTTTTGTACTGTTTTTTCACTCCATTTATACTTACTAACTAATGATTTACTAATTAATAATTTTATTGTTGCTCATTACTCTGACATGATTAAGGACTTTTTAAACATTACATTTTTGTTACTCAACACAACCATTTCCCTTCCACAACTTCTACACCGTCTGCCCATTCTGGAGTATATGCTGCCTAGGACATAAAGAAATGAGTTGTCTTTGGTAGGCCATGGAAGGTCGACCTCCCTAAGTGTCACCCTCTGAGTAGAATGGTTTTGTGAGTGAGCTACATGTTACCCTTGCATTAAACTTCTGTTATTTGTCTTTTCCAGAAGCTTCTTATTTAACTTGTCATATATGACATCAGTCATACTATCTTTATGGGTTTAATTCTTGAAAGTTTATTTTAAAGAAGGCACTGGTATCTTACTATTTCCTATCATCTATCTTTTATTTTGTTTTGTGAAATTATTTATACTTTGAGTTTCTCACATAAGATAGTTATGTGATATGTAAGCTTGTGTGTCTTTTTTATTTCACTTAACATTATGCTCTCAAGCTGCTCCATTTTCCTACACATGATTCAGACTTATCCTTCTTTATGACAGACTAGTACTCCATTGTGTGTAAATACTACATTTTCTGGACCCAGAGGTGGAGGGAGGAGGGAGGAAGAGGCGGTGAAGGGGAATAAAAAGAATAAGATGTGTTAAATACATGCACCTACCCTCTACAAATGTATGTAAACATTATATACTGCAGACATGTACTAATAAAAATATTACTTAAAAAATGTAAAACAAAAAAAAGCCACTGATAATTACTAAACGTTTGGAGGGGAACCAATATGACAGGGCCTCTGGAAGTTGGTGATGTTAAAATTTTATTTTAATAAGCAAAATAAAATGTATGGTTTGGAGATTTTCACTCATCTAATGTTTGGCCTGAGAAAGAGAATCTAAGAAACAGCTGTTAAGTGGATAAAGAAATAAAGACATTTTCAGATATAGAACTACTATCACAAAATTGGCTAAATTGGTGAAGAACCCATGAGTGGGAGATATACTGCCCAAAACTATAACCTGCAGAAAGGATTGCGGATTTCAGCCTATTCTTTTGAATATTAAGATTCTATAAGAGATAGAAGAAGGGAGGAGGGAGGAAAAGGCAAGTAAAAAGAACTAAGAATGGTTATGTCCATTTACTCCTCACAATGAATGTAATCATTAGGTACTAATAAGAATAAATTAAAAATATAAATAAACAAGATGGTATGTTATACAAACAACAGTGAAATAACAGTGGAAGGGGGTCAAGGGAGTCTCTAAAGAGCACATCATAGTCCACACAGTTCTTGAAGAATAATGAGAAGTACCGTACCCTCAGTTAAGGAGCGAAAGGAATTTAGAGAAGGGGAATAATGCAAGCACAATAATTTCCAAGAAAAAAGATAGATTTCCTGCAAGTGAAGTGTAGAATATGCTGTGTAGTCAAGAGTGTGTCACAAAAGCAAGATATTGTTACATCTCTAAGGATTGGTTCTACAGACAAATACATATATCATGAGGAATGTGAAACTAAGTTTTGGTGACATCACAGTAGTCAAACCCAACTCTGAATCTTCAGTTACATAGCACAGAAGAAATCAGTATTTATGCCTATTTTCAACTCAGGATACAACAAATTCAATTAGTTTAAAGTTCTGCATTCATCTATCAAGGTAATGTTCAAACAATCCACATTCTTTAAAATAAAGGAAATAAATATTTGACGTTGCTGTAAGCAATAAAGAAAATATTACATAGCAAAAAAAAAACATGTAAAAAGAATA